CAGTGACAGGTGTATGCCTTTCCTCATTCCTCTCACTCTCTGTGAAGGAAAAGGTCACTAACTAAATTATACCTAGTTAGTAGTGTTCATATTACCTTCTAATGTATCACTACTAAGAACTGGTGCTTCTCTTGACATACTGGTTGGCAGAGTTTCTTCATCAGATGGAGAAATATATTTAAAATACAGTTTAATGGTAGATTTCAGTTCCTACAAAAGTAAGAAGAATTGACCATTAAAGTATACAATGAGTGTTAGCACAAAAAGGTGGCACTTAAATAGGCAAGACTGTTAACAAAATTCATGATGTTCACACAAATCATTAATAATTAACCAGATATACATCATGTACATGTATGTGTACATATAAATTACATCCTTTCATGAATTCAACAATGAATACTCTCCATTTTTGACATAATTCCTCATAACTTTATCACCAATGTCATACTATAGCCACACTGCATGGATCAAGTTGATGTGCCAAGACATTATAGCATGGATGCAATGTCAACATTGGCAAGTAATTGGGATAACTAGTTCAATGTTGATCATATTCAATATTAGTGGTGTGCTAATTTTCACACTTATTATAAATTTACATATCGTACTTTAAGCCTCCTTCATGGTCAATCTAGATTCTCACCAACAACACAAAAACTCACACAATAATATAAATGCAATTCCAAACATAGTATTGTTATAATAGCTGCTAAGGTCTAGAACTTTTACCTCCTTGTTCTTGTCTTTGATTTTACACGTCACTGAATCAGAACTCAAAATAGATCCAAAACTAAGCTCAGCTGAACCCAAAAACCTATTGAACGGAACAAAATACAAAGGTTGAAATGCAGCAAAATAAAGTAAAAGCAAAGAACTAAAAATGTGTCATAATGATTGAACATGTTTGCTTTACTTATTCTTCATTATCTGTTCATGGTCATACACCTTGATGATAATTAGTGAGCTATTGCTTGGTTTCTTTTTAAGATCAAAATGTAATGTCTATTGGAAAAAATCAACAAGTGAAATCTTATTTAAGCTAACCTCATTCCATACGGGATTAACACCAACCACAACTTTAGTCTCTTTTGATTGACCTGAGTAAGAGCAGCATGTCAAATTGCAACATCATGGCGACTGACCTTCAAGTTTAACTTTTACCATAGCATCACATCCTCGGTCTCTCTCAACCCAAGGAAGGCTAGAAGCTGAAACAACAGTCACGTCTAGTCTATAAGCCTCAGACATCTCTCTCTAGCATTCTCAATTTCTCATGAAATAATTAAGCATTTATAAGCTCGAGTAGTCTAGACTAGCCTCGAGGCTAGCCTCGAAAATCTCACCACGCCTATAGAGCTAATTAAATAACATCGAGGTGCCCATGTTCACGTTCACTCACGTGGGCGAAGGAATCCGTATACGTTATTCAAACTGTAGCATTCTTTAAGAATTCAATATCATTATGATGTCACTGATACATAACTAGCAATAGATTTGTTTAGATCTACCCTTTTGACTGCTTTTCAGTATGTCTACTCTGTTCAATGAATTGAATATTAATGTTTATTTTGATTAAAAGTAGATCCGCTACAATCTCTAGTGCCTATTGCTCAGTATTTTTTTGGCATTAGTATCATAATAGATGTATTTAAGCCACACTTCACTCTGCATGTTCCTTAATAATTGATGAAATCAAAATGTTGAAAGTAATAACGAGCTCTATAGTCTATTACCTGATTGTTGAAAACAAGTTAGCTATTTTATAGTTTCCCAATTGAAGTACATTTAGTGTTTATCCAAGTGGCTAAGTAAAGCCACTGGCACTGATGAAAATTTGCATCCTCCTACTTAGCAGACACTGCATGGTTGATGCTCTTAGAAAGTTAGAAGCAAAAACAGTGGCTGAAAATATTGAGAAAACAAGTAAAGTCAATCCTGATTTAGTATAATTATTGTAATACTTGTTATCTAGTGATTAGGCAGCTACTACAGCATTACAGCAGTAGAATAACTCAAGCAACATTCTCTGAAGAATCAGTTGATCTGTTACTTACAGAAGGACTGATATCTGAAGAGACATTGAGGGAAGTGAAGAGTTGTGGATACACACTAACAAACAATGCATTGAGAGAAATATACACAGCAGCTCATGATCATAACAAATTGAAATCATTTGCTAAATTATTATGTAATTAAATCTGAAGACACTATCAACATGGCCAACGGGTTACTACAGGATATTTTTGAGTATTGATTAAAATGCAATTAATACAAGTTCATGCATTATATTTTCAGGGAAAATTATTATGTCTGAAAGTTTGCCTGATAGTAATAATGAGCCATCAAACCCAAGCAATCGCACCTACATTAGGTATTTTGATTGAAGCACACCATGCAGCAAATTATGTTCCTACAGCTAAT